TTAGGGTATTTTAATTCCGGAACAGGCAGCTATTTCAGTCAACAATTATTCTCTTCTGCTTTGGTGAAGTATTTTTCAAGGGAAATGAAAATTAACAAAATTACTTGGTTTTTTATTTCGTTGACTCGTCATCAGCATTTTTTGACTCGATTGTCTAGTTGATTCAGCATAATGGAAGTGTCAGTATGTGACAATGTTATATTTCGTCAACCAATTATCGCTCCTTGAGAACGATATCCTTCAGAAGTCTTGCCTTGTGAGAGCTGAGAACCAACGAGGTCTCACTTTTTATAGTGTGATTTCCAGCACAGCTATTTCATGAGACATCAAAATTTCATGGAATAATTCCAAATCTTTCACACCACATGATAACTCTGTTGTCCCTGGAATAAAATTGTGAACACCTATAATCGATACTTCATAATTAATACAGTTTCAAATTTATTCACTGAATGATTGATCAAATCTTCGTCATTCAACTTTGATCTGGAAAAATTTTTTTTGAGTACAGTGAAATAACCCATTCGAAGTCCCCCTATAGGTCCAACGTGTTCTCAGTGGGTGTCGCTAGCTTAATTTAATCTGTCGTAAACAAAATTAACTTATCTCTGTTTTAAATCATGAAAACAATTAGAAAATCTGACCAAATTGAAAGTCACAGTGTTTGAAACAGGAAGAATGGGTATGTTGCGGATGTGACGTATACACTAATTGTAGCGTGAAACATGCTTTACGTAATTATTTTAACTAGTGTATCCCTATTAAGACACTAATTACCATTTGTTAAGCTACAATTTACACTACATCAATTGTATTCAAACGTGGAGGCGGTTCTGGTGCAATATGAACCAAAGAGTCAAATACTTTTTTCCGTCGATTAAATTAGTACATTGGCATGTTCGATTTTTGAAATTCTTGTTCGTCTACGTGTATTTGTGTACGTGTATGGTACTTCATCTACAGCTAGAGTAAATATATTACCTTCACCTTCATATCTACTAAATTAAGCTTTCTCCAATGGAACTTGCTCTGATTCGTTTGCTCAAAGAAGGGCAACATTGTACTATACATCATTGATTCGAATAATTATTTCACTCTACTCATTCGAAAAAAGTCTATGATTCTATTTCGGTTATTTTCAATAGCGTCATCTTTGTGTATCGAATACGCGAGGAAAGATATATTTTATAATTCAGAAAAACTGGCGTCGGAAGTAAAAATCCATATCTCACCCCTAAGGCATGCAACCCCTCGCTATTATAACTCGTAGAGCGAAAGAAAAAGTAAATTTTAAGAAACCCTCGTTTCTCCCTTTACAGTCGCACAACTGTTTATTGAACGTCGTTCCAATCGTTCTGACTCCAACGTTCACAAAGACGACTGCAATTAAATAGGCAATTTATTTTTTATGTGACTCCGGATTTTTTAATCAAAACCACGATGTAATTAAAAAGTGGCTCAAATGTAATTTCGGTCGCATTTATTGCACTGTTGGTGTCGGTTAGTCGTTAAGAGAATGACATGATTTTTTTTTGTCATACGACGAGATGATCGCAGAATAAAGGCAATATTGATCTTAATTTCTCCTTGGGTTACTTTGAAAGTGTTCTGATTTGTTTCGTTGCATTCAACTACTACTGTATTATTCTCTTCTCGGAAATCTTGCCTTAAACAAAAAATGAAGAACGTGTATTTTTTCGAAAGTAAAAAAGATGTTTGTGAAGAACTTTCGATAATTGATATAAGCATTTATCATGAATAATACATTTTTTATGAAAATATATTTCTTCCATGATATTTTTCTTCAGTTCGAATCTGTAATTAACAAAATCCAATTAAAATTTCGGAGACATTTTCTATTCTTATTGATAAAAGACAACTTCATAGTTTCTTCATTTCAGTCGACGGTATATATTGAAATATTTTTTATAGATATATAATTTGTTGTAACATTGAGAAACTTTGCATCTTAACAAAGATCTGTGAGAATCTATATATATTGATGCAATCACCTTCTTGAAATAGCCAAGTCGGAAATTCAATTTTTTTTTTCAAAAAGCTATACATATCCTAGTAATTTTTACTATGAATGCAGTTACATTGGGCGAGAGTCATTAAGGAGATTTTCGAAAAAAGTAAACTTGAAACGAACAACCAGAGAAAAACACAAATATCACAATTCATGTATTCGTCCTAAAACTCAACCAATATACATAACTTCATGAAATCAGGTGAATTTCATTTACCTGAAGGCAATCACTGCCCACATTGGTCGAAGAATTAGACCCTATTGTGGATATAGGTGAATAAGATACTTTCACACCAATTTTCTATGGATCCCAAATTGGAATTTAGGTTACGTGCAGTGGACCCACTTGATGCTTACTTCATAATGGATTTTTCCATAAATTAATGTAATGACAATTTGACATTCCAGTTCGTTTTCACTCGAAAACCCCAGTTGTCACGTCCTATTCTGGTTCTGTCGTATTATACATGATTTAAATCAACTCCCGAAAGCTGAAGTTTTTCACAAATATCCCAGAGAAAAATTATTGGTTTTTATTCATATACCCCTCCACCAGATTCAAATTCCAACGTTCTTCATCATTTTTCAATTTTTGAAACTCATGCTCTACTGATTTAGAAAAAACAATATTCAAATCTTATCAAAAATATTATTTTTTGATGAATGCGAAACCTACATGTGATATTTGGTTCAGAACATGTTTTCTAAAACTGTACCTCCAAAAATTTTTGGTTTTTGTGAGAATATATATCTAATAGAAAACTATTTATTTTTTTATTCATGAAATTCATTGTTTTTTCTGTGAAATCTGGATTTGTTCAACAAATATAATGATTCTCATATTGATCTATTTGAAAAATTATAACCAAAAAATGTGAATTTTTTGCGAATTATGAATTTTTCATCCACAGCTTTGGTAGTCCTTCTAATAAAAAAGATATTTATATTGACTCAACCTTTGTTAAGTATATTAACCAATTATTTTTTGTTTATGTATAAATGGTCAGAGCTTGTTTACTTGTTTTTTCAAATATCCTCATTCGAAATAAGTTATTACAGATAAACCTAGCGACCTTTCTGTGTAATAATCTTTTCAGTCTTGTTTGATACAGTTTGTCAAGCTAATTTCATAATTATCGTCTAACAATCAGTTTTTCAAAAGATCAATTATCGATCGTCAGAAATTGATACTGCTGAGGATTATCATTGGAGAGGAGACAATAACTGGTTGATGATATTACACATCTCAATCAACATTTCTCTCCTTCTCCTCGGAAAAAAAATGCTAACTAATCATGCTGTGATTTAAATGTTGATTTGTGTGATAACATCAACCATTCGTTGCCTACCTTTCGAGCGACAACCATCATAAGTCAACTTCTTAAGGTTTACCGGGGTCTTACCCCATCAGTAAACCGATTCCTGATAAGGGTAAGCAATGTTGCTGGGGATTGAGTCAGGAGAACAAACTACAATAATGATATCAGAATTGCTAATGAAGGTTCATCATTTCTGTGAAAAAAAAAATTGATGAAATGTAAATTTCCTTTTTTTTGGATGATGAAGAAAAAATTGTGAATGTATTAAAGCGATTAGTCGCGAATTTGATTATTATCATATCAGTCCAATTTATTGTTTTCCAAGTCTAAGAGGTTCATGTTTTTTCCTGTTAACAGACAAATAAAGGTATTTTCATATCTATAAAAGTATGAATATGATGTTTATCAGAATATTGAAAGTTTACCATTGGTCAAGTCAGTAGAGCTCAAATATCGGAAAATTTGATAAATTGCAAGAAATTAAGACAGTAGTAAATTGAACTTTTTTGGCAAAGTATAGAACTCAAAACTTTTTCATGATACATTTATGAAAGTTCTGAAAGTTTTCAGAAATGAAAACCAATTTTACTAAAATTCATTCAAAATCAGATGTCCAGATTAACACATGATCTAAGTCCAATGTCAAATGCATCTAATGATTGAAGAAAACTGATTCAAGTAATACTTCATTGTGAAATTTTCATTGTGAGCTATATAATGCCTTCTTCAAGCATTTCCATCCCCTATATTTAGTCTGATGTTTCCTGGATACGTACATTAGCGAAAAAAATAATATAACATATTACTCAACATTTATTTTATATATATCCATCGAATATGGTTATTTAATATCCTTGCAAAATAAGTTTTTGAATTATGTGGAAATGCTTTTTATGATGTGTGAAATTTTCTGAAGACATTTGTAGATTCGTACGACATCTTCAAAATAGCAGTGTTCAACATAATTTTTTCTAAACTTCCGAATGAATAATATCAAGGTATTTTACTATTTTTCAATTGAAATCGCTCACATTGGATAGAGGACAAGCGTATACATGACCTAATCTTTTGTATATTTTCGAATACCTGGAATGCAAGACGAAAATATTTACTGAAAATTGAATTCATCCTTTCGATTTGAAATTTGAATGCGCACAGTGCACCAATCTACTTTTCATATACATAGAAACTATAGATTCTCAATATTAACAATGTTCAATAAATAAGCGGTGATCAAATACCGAAAATGTTCTGAAAATATCTGAAGACAAGAGAAAAGTCGGTTTTATTATAAATACTATATATTTTTTTTAGGATACCTAATAAAATAGAATAATTAGATTGTCTATTTTTTGACGAAAAGCTCATTTATCGAAAACGCTTTTGTAAGGTAGTTTCATACAGTGTTCCACAAAGACGGTGAGGAAGATCCTGTTGAATTTTTGAGCATTGCGTTTAAGTTTTCTATAACCCCATGATGACCAGCTTTCGAAGAAAAGTTTACTCTACTTTGCTATATTTCTGGGACTATCAAATAACGCATATCATTTTATCTCTATTATTCTTTGATATTAGTGGGATCTTTCAAAAAATTAATTATTGTTTTCTATTTCTATATGAAATTTTGGTAAACCCAATCTCTTTTGTTTCAGGGGGAGCCGGGGGATTGCTTCTAGACACAGGATCAGGACCATCTTTTCTTCCACTACCTGGACCAGTACTTGAACAGGTTGCAGCCGGTAATTCAGAACCAGGAGTTACCACCTTGAAACTACCAGACAACTTTCAACGTTCTCGTGATCTAGCTATTCGAGATATTGATGTAGAAGTTTGTTTTGTTTGCAAAAAATGTCGACTGGCATTCCGTGGTGAATCTCCTCTTCTTACCCATCAACGTCAGTGCTATGGAAGTAATCAAGAAAATCGCGGAGCTTTTCGAATAGTACAAACGGGATTCGAGTGTAGGAGTTGTGGCAACGAACGGTTCAAAACTTTCATGGAGCTTAAACTGCATTGCGAAACTGACGTACACCTCAAGTCAAGTAGTTGTGGCAGTCTCAGTAACAACACTTGCAGTAACAAAATTATTTCTTTTCTGCCTCCGTCATCTGAATCGCCGTTAAGTCATGAAATGGAAGACGTAGTAAACCAGATCACACTCTTGGCAGCTCGAGCTGCTCAGGAGTCCCCTCAGCAAGTGGTGGACTCAAATTCCAATACATTTTGCCACCCGGCAGATCCCAAAAAGAAGTTTTTGGCACCCTCTGATATCAGTCAGTCTCTAACAAGTCCTGGTAACTGAGTTACAGTCCCTCAATGAAGACTAAGTTCGTAAATGATGAATCCAAATTCAGTTCTTATATATTTTGGGGTTTCCCTATTGTGCAATAATTGATCATTTCTGATACCTTATTGTTATTTCACAGCGGTATAATAAGGTGTCTTAATTCCATTGAGACAGAAACTGCTGAATAGTTACATTTGTTGAGCTCCCGAAATTTGTGGAGAATGACTGTCACTACGGCAAGTACAGAAACTGAAAATGTTTAAATTCAAAACTACTACCCTAAGAAAGCAATGATAAAAATTATTTATATTTACAACTGATGTACTATATATTTTTGAAGTTATTATGTTATGTTTTTGTAGATGTGTCAGTGTAGGTGTGTATATGTTGTATAGTTGAGTAGGTTCGATGATTCCTATTGCAACGTATAGTTACTAATCAGTTGAGGGTTTCTGCTGGTATGTTTCCGAACATACCAAGCAGCCGCCAAGTTCCTGACTTCTCTGTGTATATCAAACTGCGACATAAAATGTTCCTAACGAGATGTAGATACTGCATGCGGCACCCCTTGTGGGTCCAGCGGGCCCGACGCGGCGCCCAGTAAAACAAGTTCCTATCGACCGTGCTCGACAGTTCCTCAACGACTTGCACCGAGCTCGGTCGCTTTTTTATCCATTATTATTAAATTATTACAAAATACGTTTATTATTATTACACTAATTATTAAAGTTGATAAAGCAAATGCTGTATTTATCATATATATGTAAATGTAACTGAATATATCAGCTGGTGAGAGAACGAGAAAAAACATCAAGACCTCTGACCAGCAGTAAAAAATTGGTTCCTACTAATAATAATCGATACGGTGTTTTGAGTAATAATATAGTTATTATGTTTTAACGTTGGTTGTCACCGGCATTGTACGTATATATAGTAGTAGATATATATTTAAAATTTTAAATTAGGTTTACGTATCCAAAATAACTCAAACTGGGAAATACTTCGGTATGACCTGCCTCGCATAATAGTGAGTTTCTTTGGAACTAAGTGTGATTGTTGATCTAGTGTAATGCAACTGATGCTCTTCGGCCGTACAGGTTGATTCACCTTAACTCTCTAGTTTTCATTTCAAGAATTTCTAGTGATTATTTTCGGTATCTCAAAGTAAGAGTATACTTGCCAAAAAATACTCAACATTTTATGAAATTTGAAGTGTTGCCATTTTGTTATTGAAAAGAGTTTGAACCATAGTGAATCAGTTTGTATTTTTCCATACTTGGGCCATCTTATCCCTCTCTTGTCGATGGGCTTCAAGGTAGCGTGATTGTCGCAACCTAGCATTGCTAAGTGAATGTGACACGTGGGATCTCCCACTCTCTGACTATTACACGATTATTATTACTATTCATTCTATAATTTCATTCCTATGTTAACGGAAGCCGTCTATATTGGGGATGAAAAATACGCTCTCATCTATCTTTACAAAGATGTAACATTATTTAAATTCGTATTTCTGTAACACCTCTTGTTTTCATTTCGTTTTTCAGTAGTAGATAACCACCGTTCGGAAATGTAAACTTTCATTTATCGTTCATTTTTAGGCATGGATTTGCGGACGATCTTTGTTTTTTACTCTAGTACAAAATACTTTATTATTGTTATTTGGTGCTTATTATTGATTGAACCAGTTCAGTAATAGTTTTCTTTACAATTTTTTTGCATGCACGTATCATTTTTCTCATCAACAGTTGTTTTTTTATTTTATGATGCACTGTTTGGAACCTTTGGTGTAGTAATGAATATTGCTGGAGTTTTTTTCCACCACCAAATCATTGTTTTAACACCTCGACACGTGTTTCGATCACCAAGTGATCATCTTCAAGAGGAAGATTAAACTGAGTTTGATCTTCTTCTTGAAGATGATCACTTGGTGATCGAAACACGTGTCGAGGTTTTTAAAATAACGATTTGGTGTTGGGAAAAAACTCCAGTAATATTCATAGTTGTTTTTTGTTGATATTTGAGTTGGGGGCAATATAATTGTATACCCAGTAATATTATTGAAATGAGGAACATCTTTGTAAATATAACGTGAAGAAACTAGTTTCTAAGTGTTGAATACATTTGTATAAATTATTATAATTTAAGCATTTATTCTCAAGTTGTTCATATGTTACTTTGCCACGCAAGACTTGACAAAACAGTGATTTTAGGTTAGGTTTTACATTACTTCAATGCATAGGTAATTTATTTCTTTTGTGATGTAAAAATTTTAATTTGATAATGAATAGACTGTTTCACTGTAAAAATTCTTTATTTTAGTAGGATATTATTTGATGTTCAAAGACAAGTATTGTTTATGATTTTATTAGAATCTGTGACCTCTGTCATCAAATATTACAAATGAACTGTGTTTTCTAACGAATCAGATGAATAATAATAATAATTACTAGGTAAATGTTTGTATCCTACGGCTTCAGCCGCTCTCGATTTGTGAGTGTATATGAAAGTCAAATAAACTGAATAGTTTATCATAATACTGTGTATTATTTATAAATTTCACTCAGCTCAACTGATTCTGTTATTTGGCTGTAATTCCAATCTGGTGGAAAAATGAAATAATATCCCTTATCATAAATTCAGAATTTCAATGCTCCAGCTATCTTTTTCTTGTGCTTGTTTCAATAACAAGCGATCTCTCATCAGTTATCAACGTTTCAACATTTTGAATTTCCCTGTGCATCAGGCGATATGCCTTGTGGTGGATGAAATGATGATTTTTTCCCATTACCACTGTTCGAAACATAATTTGAAATAGGTTTTGACAGTTATGTCAACATAATCATCATGACTGCATTATACTGGTTCCAATTTCGCATATTTATGGAGAAGTTTTTCGATTGATGACCTATTCATTTTGTAGAATTTCATATTGAATATAGAATAAAGAAAATATCTTGTCTAATTTTGTCTGACTTGAAGTTACTTGAAAATGGTCTAATAATCCGAAACCGGTCGTGACAAATAATAAACTTAGTAGAAATGAATAAAACTTTATTTTCTTCATTCTTTCCTTTCAACTAACTTGAAGTTATTGCAACTGCCTGTCTGTCTGTTTTCCGTTAACCAGCTGTCGCACCCCTGCGAGCTAAAGATTAACGAGGTATTACCTTTTAACGTGTGATTCCTAACACGGGTTGGACGATAGCAAGTGAAAATCGATCGTTCAGACTAGAGGTTGAACCACCAACACGGCAGTCAATTCGAGTGAGTAAACAAAGCACCCACGTCGAAACACCTGGCCACCGACCGAACGGTCTAATAAACCGAAACCGGTCGTAACAAAAAATGAACTTATTAGAAATTAGTGAAAAGTATTTTTTTTTGTTCTATCTTCATTATCGAGAAGTCTTCTACTCTTTAAAGTGACTGAAAATTTTGTATCAAATGGTAATTGAAGAAATTTAAAGGAAAAATACGAAATTGTATTCAGTGCAGAAGCGTTCGAGAATGGAGGAATTAGAAGGAATAGAATTTGGGAATTTTGCTATTCTTCAGTTAGTAAACTGATGTGTTTTCCTATTTTCAGATAGTTTTAACTATCGTCCGTTCGATATCAACCACTGTGACACAAGTGATTGACATTTCCAGGAAAACAGAGACGTCGTTTTTGTCAGTAAATCGTTGAGAAACATGAAGAACCATCATCAACAAATCCATTGAAGGAAAATACATGGTAGGTTGGACTTTGGTTTGATCGAGAATGCAAGTATTTTTATATTCATGAACCAATAATTCCTCAGTAGAGCTGAATTTCGTAAACATCGGAAATAATTTTTGATTGATAATACTTCAGTGCGAATTGAAAAAAAAACAAATGAGTTCAAACTCCTCATCAAAATTTGGACACCGTGTTTTTTTAGTCGGCTTCAAATATTGAAAATATTTGTTAATATTCAGAGTTTCACCTACTTTCGAAAACTTTATTTCCATCATATATAGATTAATGCTTCACGGAAGAGTATATCTCAAATTGATCATTAAAAAATTTATATCCAATGTAAAGTCTGTACGAAGTCATTTCAAGCAGTTAAATGAAAGACTTATGCATCGGGTCTGACTCAATACCACATAGAAACTCCCACATAAAAATAATGATTGGACCTCGTAATTTACCACCCCGCGCATGACATACAAAAAACTGCCGACGTTCGGTAACCATTTAGTTTTTATGCCATTCGAATAGATTTCATTTATACTATACATAATCAAACAATATATGAATCAATATGAGCAGTTGAAAAATGTTCATCGAAGACATATCTATCCAAAAAATATTAACGAACAATTCTTCAAGAAAAGGTGGTCCCAATATCACATCTTCCATACAGTATTCTATTTCCTTGAACTATTCGATTTTGGTATGATGGAATATTCAATCATATACAATATACAATCAATAACTAAATACAAAACGCCATAGAATATACCAAAGAATTCATTCAAATATCCCTAAACGTTTTGTTTATGCACAATCATCATGAATCCATGGAATATTTTCCAATGTGTTTCATACGGTTTTTCAATACCAACAGAAAAACATGTGTGTTTAGTTAATAAACGAAAATGAATTTCAGTGCCACTGCTGAACTGAACAGTTAATATGTTAACACGTTAGAGACAACAACGACTTCTATAAGTGACACAGTAGATCAATTTCTCATATATTTTTCAATAAATGATTAAGGTTATTGGAGCAGTAAAGTCTTGGAATGAAGTCTTTGGAATTATTGAATTTCGTCACCTGTCGCCTTTCACGTTGGGCCTCCTCTCATCCGTCATTTGTCATCTGCAACACTGGTGGTAGGTTAATAATGAAACCATCACCTATCGTGAATGTTACGGGTTCGTCTTTCCATTTTCTAAAAATCTGTTAACAACTTCGAAATCTATGGAGAAATGGATTTTTGAAAATACTGAAGATAACAAATCATGTGTGTGAAATTCAAAGATATAAAAATGATAAGTTTCATAAAAAACAAATTATTCACGAACTACATCAAAGGATTTGATCTTCACAAACTTCATTTTCAGAAATATCACGACTATAGTTTCGCTATCACGCTACTGCGATAGGAAAACGTGATATTTTTGACAATAAAGTTTGTGAAGATCAAATCATAGAGTTTAGTTTGTGAAATTACTGTGTATATCCATCAAGTAAGGGCCGTGTCAAACAGGAAATTATTTTGACCTGAAACGGAGTATCAATTATATGAAAACAAACAAAACAATCAATAATAAATAAAAATAAATCAATAAAGACAAATCATTAAAAAATAGGAAAAAATAAAAAATTGTCATAGATAAATGAAACAATTTAAAAGACTGCAAATGAAACTACTTCACGACATTTCGATTGCCAGTAGGGAAGACGATTGTGAAGACTAATGATATAAATTTCATGAAGGAGATTGGTTTGAAAAGTTGTGTTTTCATTTCCATCCATATTGTTCACATATAGATGACATTTCACTTGTTGTTGAATCTATTCACTGATTTGTTCCAGCTTTTCTGCAATATCCACTATTTACCTTCGTGAACTCATCTTGATCTATATTTTTTAATTTCTGTAATTTTTATAGACCTCATTTATTGTTTCAACTCATTCATTTTTTCATTTTCGTTTTAAATTACGATATTTCGTTTCATATTTTTCTGCCACGTTATAACCTCCATCTACATCTTTATTTTTCATTTCTTTCATTTCCATTGTTAACATGAAAGACATGTTATGTTCTAATATACTTATCAATTCACTTGTATTTCTATTTCGGGTAGACATTCGTAGTACATTTTCTCATGAAAATTCCCGTTAATTTTCAAACAAGGATTCATATGAAAGTGAACAATGGAAACATTCTTACTGTTCATGGTGCCATTTTCAGAATTTCCAAAACAACCAGATATCTATTGTTATCGATCTCAACAAATTTGGACAGTTTTCATTCATTCTAAGCTTTCAACGAAAGATATAGTTCATGAGGTGAATTCAACAAAAGCCAAATTTATGAAGTTCAGAGTTCTCAGGATCGTTCCGGTGCTAAAAACCCAATAATGAACGAAATGACAAATTATGACATTTTTTGTTATGTTTTTTTATCTACAGTCTACTAATTGAAAAAAATACATTCAATAAAGCAAGAGTTGTGTGTATGTACAAAAAAAAAAGTATATCAACGGTGTTGGTGTTCTGACCAAAAAACCGCTGTTGAGACGCGGATACATTGATTTTAGATTTGAATACTAAGCCTTGCAAAAACTTCATCGTGCTCTTGTGCTCTTGAAAAAACATTTCGATTCTGTTATTTTAATCAACGGAACGAATGTCAAATCCGACAATAGTGATTCCTGGCAAAAATATTGAGAATGCATTGGAAGCTATTCA